CGTCACTAAAAGGAGGACCATAGAAAAATTGACCGCCAACTAACTTCTAATGAGGGGGGAGGGGAGGAGGTCAAAAGAATATCACAGAGCCTCATGGGGGAGGGGGGGGGAATCAGGCAAATGTTATGGTAACACAACCAAAATCCTTCAACCCCCCCTTCGGCGATAAATAATGACTGGTTACTTTTGACTGACGGTGTCTTACTCTTTCATCGTTTAAATGTTCCTTATCCTTGAAATACTGTCATTAAACATGGAATTGTTGACACCGTCGGTCTTTATGTTAATCCTTTAACTCACACAATCTCATTAGTAATTCTCCTTACTGTCTGCCATATAGTTCTTGTAATAGTTTGGAGAATTTGGTATTGGATCAACTAATGATACCCTAACAGGAGCCCATTATGAGCTCCTGACCTTCGTTAAAATATTTTTCTTTATTCTCATCACTTGTCTGCTTGATATTGTAAGGAGAAATTTTTTCTTGGTCACACATAGAAGTTAAAGAGTGAAACGTTGAATTACTGTAGATTCATTACTACAGATAGAAAACTGTACATGAGAAATATTACATTAACATGCAATTTACAAATGATTTGATTGCTCCCGTTACAATAATCTCCTTGGCAGCAGGTCACATGGCACCTATGGTGAGCACTCCTCTTCCTCCTACAATCTTGTGCTGCTAATCTACACTCAATTTCCCTTCCACAGCCTCTGGTCATCTCGATTACCCCAATATCAAGCATGAAGGTTTTAATGATGCATCTGTCCATGTACTGATTGCAAGCGTCTTGGGTTCGGTTGCGCCGGAGCTTTTCTTGTAGGCAGTACTGTTCTAAGCCCTTGCACTGGAAACACGTCAAAGCAAAGCCTGAAAAAATGAATTAAATAAAAGAGAATTTTATGAAATCTTTATGCTGAGAAGGGAAATCATTTGCCTACTTTAGCTGCATGCCCATCCAACACTTTGATCATCTGGCGAGGTTTGCAAAAACGGAAGACACAAGGATATAAAGTTTGAATGTGTGCGATCGTATGATGCAATCGTCCGGGCGAGAGAAGTCGTAAAAAAGGACTGCTGTTAGTAATGAGTAATGTTTAAGTGAACGGAGCCATCGCCAGAGTTAAGACAGACCTGAAACTGATCGCATACTGTCTCCTCGGTAAACCAGACGATCACACTACTGACAATTAATTCTTGATTACAGCATGCATCATTTTATTCAACACCGTTCGGCGAACGATGTTGAATACCCCGGAACCTGAAGTTCGAGGCCATTTTTTCTTTTATGCTGATATGATTCTTAGCCGATATTAAAACGACAGAACACTTTTACCAAGAATGAGGTTGATACCTATCCCAACTGAAAGTAAATTAAATCAGTAATAACAGAAAGAAAAGGGACGAAGAAAAATATCTTGAGGTATCGAAACTTAGACCTTTGGTTTCCGCACGTGAACTCGCGTATTTCAATCAAGGTAGTGATGCACTATTCCAACCTTGACCACACTAATGCGTTTTCAAAAGTGTTCGTTTTCGTCTCCATCAAAACGAAGCAAATATATTTCCATTCGCTTTGTCTTCATCTTATCACTCTATCATCTATTTTCATTTCAAAACGCAAACATTTTTTGATGAGGATCATTTTGTAAAATTGCCACGCCGTCTAGATGTTATGAGCTTTCGAAATATCATTGAATCAAATATACCTAAGAGATCTTTTGTTTGAGGTAATGGATAAACAGGCTGATATTGATTTAATGGACAATGTACAAAAAAAATGTGTTTTTCAAAATTGTTTCAACTGACGAATAACTGACTTTTCCTTGAATTTCAAAGCTGCTGTCATCGCTGCAAGAATAACGCGACTATACCGTGGAAGAAACTGAAAATACCTTAATAAAAATGACGGAAAATATTTCATGTCACTGCTGTTGTTGCATTGATATGTTAGTAGATTAAGAGAGAAAAACGTCTGTTATGAGACGGTACTTGTGCGAATTCATATAACATTTAGTCAGCGATTCCACAATCAATACCACAAGACGCACTCGTGTCAGAGATTTTATAAACGATCCGATTTTGCTAGTTTGTGATTCCGCTAGCGAATTATGATGGTGGTAATCGCGGTCATTACCACATAATGCATCTTCACCTAAGACTGAAGTATATTCTCGTCTTTATGCTTAAGTATTATTTCAAAATTTCACTTCGAAATAAAAGTTGATGGCGATGCAGTACTTACCAACGGTAGCCATGAGAAGCAACCCAAAGACTTGACTGAAAACAATTTTCATTATTCAGCGCAAGGTCTTAGAAAGTTATTTTTGCTCACGTTCGTGATCCTTATATATTGTGGTGTCGCAAGCGACTCAATTGAAAACTTCGCACAAACCACTGATTATCCCTTAAAATTCTTTGGTGTAATTCCTCAAGACTGACAGTGTCAGTTTTGATTACTCTTTCACTAAAACATAATTTGCATTTCGAGCAGACAGGAGATTTTAAATGGCTACGCATGTGCGAACGTGGGCGCAATAATAGATCATTTTCAGTCACGTGATCTCATTTTAATTAGCCGCCCTATTGGTGCACATCACTTGCCTGTGAACATATGACCACGAGTTGTGTTTATGACAAAAAAAAAAAGTTTTACGCGCGATTTTTGGCTGTGGTACCCGAAGTGGTCGTGATAAAGGAATTAAGAGGACATCCGTGCAAAAATCAAACAAAAATGAAATTTTTATGGCAAGGGTCAAAAACTCAAATTGTCTCAATTTTTGCACACAAGTAGACCCTAGTAAGACAAGAAAGGCTGTGCATTTTTTTTTCCTCTGATGTATTTTAATTTTCGAGAAAAACGAACTTTTAGCTTTTACCCTCTGGAATCGATGAATCTGGTCATAACAGGTCGAAAATTGAACACTTTCGCTCGCTTCGCCGAAAGGGAGCGAAAGTGTTCAATTTTCGACCGGCGGCGCATTTCAAAGATATTACGTCTAGGGAAATCTTACCAACGTGAGCTCTTTCATAGACTCTTCGTCTTCTGTAAAATGTAAGTTATGTAGGAATTGGTTGCTTAGAAGCTTTTGGCCATGCGAAAAAGCAATGTGCTCTCTTCCGTTACAAAAAAATGTCGGTGAAGAAAACCTCTTTGTTCACCATGTGCCATTATTCAAAATTCCACAAAATTACGTTTGTAAATTTATGAAGGAATAATCTTCAAAATGACGTAAAGTTTTCTTTGGGCAAATGTTTTCTCGC